GCGAAAACTGGCCAATAATTATAACACGACTTCGCGGAGCGGTTATTGTCCCAATTCGACGGACAGAGGGAACGGGGCAACAGGCACGAGATGGAAGAGGGGTCGGACGGGGGGGAAGGGCAGTATCGCGCTTTGTGGATAATGGCTGCGCTTGAGAGGTCATGTGAGCCTGACGTTCCAGCATGTCAACAGCAACTATGCATCATCGGATGTCTGCCGCACGTAAACGCCTGTCTCCTCTCTCCCTTCGCGCGCCTCCCTCCCGTCCACCCCCTTTCGGCGCCCCCCTCTCCTGGATCGTTTCTGCTCTGACTCGACGGCCCTTCCGTCGACCGCCGATCCTACCCCTCCACCGTCACGACCCCTGGGTCAGATATACGGGCTCGTTCATTATAATAAGCAGCGACGGTCAAATGAACCCTCGTTAACCATGAAATATCGATTTCGCCTCGTCCGAGTGCAAAGATCGAGTCACGGTGAGCCATGATCGTCGCGCTGTTCATCATGGCGCGCCGATCCCTCGTTCATATAGGCAAGGGGCTCGATTATTTTTCTGCGCTCACACTTCATCAATTGAACGTCAATAATCCTCGGGACCGTTTAATGTCTTCGTCTTCTCCTCGCCGCGGCAATTTTATGTCGACGTGACCGCCGGGACGCGTAAATCCCGGGCGCAGCCCATGCGTCACGCGGAAATGGACACCCCGGGTCGGGTGGCGAGCCGTAGATCGACCCCCGGGTTGCACTTGACACTACATCGTCGTCGTAATAACAATTCATTTTCGGCAGCGGCATGATTTCCCCGGGAACGTGACCGCACTACATACGTTGCTCAAGGGCGAGCGGTAACAGTGGCGCAGAACAGACGGCGGCGGTCCGAGGGACGGCGGCGGGACAGGGGGGGTATTAACGTGCGGTTACTCGTGTACCGCGCTGCGAAATTACTTTAAATTATGGAAAACGGCCGAGAGAGAAAAGAGATTGGGAAGTATGGCACGTTTCTCGCTGGCCGGCTGCATTTCCCCTCCACCCTCAGCAGAAAGAGAAATTGGAGAGAAAAAAAAAGAAACGTTAATGCTCTTTCCCTCTTATACTTCTTCTCCCATTTTAGTTCTTCTCTTTCGCCTCTGCTGCGAGGTAAGTACTCTATATCCCGCTACACACTCGTCGTTTTCAGCCGTTTTCTTCTTTCCTCCCTATAAAGTCTCTCACTCCCGCGTTACCCCGTCCTTCCATTTTCATCACCCTTGCATCTTTGACCTCGGTGTCTTTTTCTTTCTCTTTCCACTCCTGAGCCGTGCTCCTTGTTTTTCTGCTTCTTAAAGCTTTACTTCTTACCCACGCGCTTGTACTCTTTTTTTATCCTTCATTCTTGGTTACTGCTTGAGTCTGTATTTTCATACTCGTTTTGTCTCTTTAATTCAATTTTTTTCTATTTTAATTTTTATTTATCGTTACTAGAGCAGAATTTCGCTAATATTGGTATTCATGGTTAACATAGCTTTGTAAAAAAAGAATATTAAAAAAAACAATAAATTATTAGCAATTATGTCTCCGCATTTATGACAATTGAATATAAGACGTTGTCAGTCTTATAACTTATAACGTAGTTTATAAACAATTTATTAAATATGCCTTATATTTTTGATAAATGCTGCATAAAAAAGAACATGTATCTATTTTACTTATTTTTCGTAATATTTATAACCTTTTTTAAAAAAATAGTGATTTCCGCAAGAAGAATGTTGAGGTGATTATTTATTATTTATTATTAGGTCTAAATTGAAAACATTGTTTGTTTCCATTATCTTTTATTATTCCGAGATCTACCAATGTCAAGTTTTTTGCATTAAATATTTTTTCAATTGCATTTCAATATTTTCTATGATCGTGATGGGTTTAAAAATGTTTAATTTTTTAAAACATTATATTTTCTCTTTCTATCTCGCACAATTTTCTGATTTCGACACTTTTGTTAAAAAACATTTTTTACATTTTTAAAATTATGAAATGTTAACCAATACTTATTATTCATTTAAATATTCTTTTTACGGAAATCAACACCATTTATGTAGTTGCATGCACAATTATTTTATATTTATGATTGAATATATTGAAACAGTTTTGTACATATAGTCGTACGCGTGTGCCACTTCCGCGCGAAGTACAACCCCCAACTCGGCTGCATATCTCCACGCCAGGAATTGGAGTGGATGGCGAACGTGGGTACAATAGTTCGCATTGTATTGGATCTAGCCGAGTGATAGGCCCCTTTCCCGATCTCCTCCTGCCTCTCCCTGCCTTTCCCCCTGCCTGGGAGTCTCACCATCCTCAACCCCTTCGTACCCACCCTCCTATCGTATCTCATTTTCTGAAGGCCCGGCGCGAGCGTGTATTGTACCGCTCGCTATGCCCAAATCTCGCTATCTATCGCCATTGCGGCCAACTGCGTCGCCTCTGCCGTTTTGTGCCCTTTCAGCCGTGCTTTGGTTTAAGTGCA